GCAGCATCAATACTTAAAACGTCTTTTAATATTAACGGCTACCAAACCCTTGCTCCTGGTTACAAATAAATGCTATTTCCCAATCACCTGCCTTCTGGACTGGCTTTTAAGTAAGTTGTTTTAGTGCCAAATTTTGTACAGCATGATTATTTAGCCTCTTTATCTTAATCCATCCAACGTAGGTATCTTGTGATAACATTTGTTGTTTGCCTTACACTGTAACAATGTTTCAAGCTCCTGAGAGCTTATGTTAACTATGACATATATTTAACGTAAAATAATGATTCTTGTATAATTTTTTTTTGAAGTAACATGCCACTATGCTTTTATCCGATAATTTTAAGATAAAAAAACCACACACACACAAGCTTTTAATCACGAACTTTTCCTCGAATGCGCCTATGTATAATCTTCGGCACGATGAAGGACATAAGTTAACTTTAGGTATACTGTTGATGCCGACATGTGCAAATGTATGTAAACTGTAAAACGAAAGTAGGTTTGCGCGATCGCAAACATTTAATGCTGATATTTCCGCATACATGTCAGTTAGTACTTGATGTGATAGCAATGGATTAAACGAGTATTACCTTGTGTTGTATTCTAGCACATCAGTGTCTCAGTACATACGGTATTACTCTGTTAATGTTCGATAAACGTCTGNATGTGATAGCAATGGATTAAACGAGTGTTACCTTGTGTTGGATTCTAGCACATCAGTGTCTCAATACATACGGTATTAATCTGTTAATGTTCGATAAACGTCTGTTTATTATTACTGTCCTGATTATGTTGTGAGCTATTTCCGGGTCACGTTCTCGTATCAAGTGCGCTTCCGGTTACGTCATAAAATGCAAAATCTTTTCAATATTTATTAATAAAAGATAGTTTAAAGAATAAACTAGTTAATAAAACAAATATCAATACATTGTAAATATTATTTTCTTGAATGTTTGCGAAGCAGACGACGTTTGATCATAATCTGGAAACTAGAACATTTTTTCCAAAAAAATGTGTTTTAACATTTGAAAGAAAAAAAAATTAAGGGGAAAAAATAAATTTGTTCTTTTATGAATTAATGAAAGTGATACAGAAAAGAAATATAGTAAATAACTGATAGTAAATTTATCAAAAACATCATCCTTAGAGAGTATGTTCTGGGCACGATCGTTTAGAAGCTTTGCAATACTTTAAACTCTTTCAAACGTGCATCAGCTCGAGATTAGGTCCTGTTTACTAAATGGCGACTGGAAGTAGCAAGGCGGATTAAATTGGAATTTAAATTGCGTTTATTTCGGCAAGTAAGCATTGTTCACAAAGCCCATGTGGTCTGTTTATCTAATTTAGTCAAGATGTACTCAGAACAGTCGTTGTTTAGTCGCTAGGGTCATTTACAAAATAATTAGGATTATTATATAAACTTATTGTAATTATAGCGAATAACCAATTGGTTACGTAAGCATTTAGCTCAATCGGTTAAACCTATAGCTCAATAAGTAAGATGAGATAATCATTATTTTAAAAATGAAATGATCATCAGATACAGCTTGGAAATGACTAGGAATGCTGAACAGACTATTACCAGCTACAAGCAGACCTCGACAATAATAACGGAATAAACACTACACCAGTTAACAGGGTGGCATTGTAAGTTCTTACAATATATCTCTAGAGTTGAATTAAGATAACATACTTTCTATTCTACCAGTCTTCTTTGCGCGAGGAGGAGGCGTCTTCCTGTAAATGAAAGGTAGATGAATAAATTACTGGCCAATAAAACAGAAAAGATGTCATCGGTTGAAGACAAATGGGCGAAGCCGAAAATCGAACACTTTACAACAGTACAATTATAATCAAAACTAAGGAAATTAATCTGTTATCCTTATAAACAACTAGTTGCTAAGGTTTTGTAAAGAAATGTCCTGCTGCGTTTTGCCACTCATCTAAGCCGGATCTAAAAATCGGATAAAAAATGTAAAAGCTTCATTTTTCCCTTTTTTTCACCAATTTAAGGTTTTGAAGAACCTGTCTTCCTGACTTTTTGTCAGTTACCAACAAATACGTACTTTAATCATCAAAGCTTCGATTATTGCACTTACATACAGAAACGTTAACCCACCAATTGTTTAAATTATAGTTTCACTGTTTTTAGTTCCAAATGTTATCGATCATATATATTCATCATCGTTATGAATTTTTGAAAGTTTCGACGTAACTTCAAATACCACGAAAGTTGTTGTCAACTATGCCTGTTGTCAACTACGCCAAAGGCTCGCTAAATTGAAAAAATCTTAGACTCGTTTCATAAATCTCTCACTTAACTTTAATTGAACAACGGTTTAGTCTAATATCTATGTAATACATTCTAAGCAGATACGCAATACTTCATTAGTTTGACATCTTCAGAGATTCAGCATCGGGTAGAGATATAAAGAGTGGTTGATGAATTTAACTACCTTGGAATGTTATTCACTTATAACGGTAAAGTAGAAAAGCGTACTTTGCAATGAATATTAAAATAAAACGTCAATGTTTTAAATATGGGGTTATCTTAAAGCTCCAAATGTGGAAAAAATACACGAACCCAAGTTTTGTAAGAAACAACTTGAAGTCAAGAAATGTACAGGAAATGATTTGGTGTATTTTGAATTAGGACGGTGTATAGTGAATACTGAAAGAAAGAACAAACATTTTGAGGTATTGGTTGAAATTGAAAATTACAAAAAAAGTGTTAAATGGTAGTGAGATAGAAAGTTCTACATTACAAATAATAGAATATAGATTTAATGATGTATACAACTAGGAATTTAAAATAAGTCAATTATCACGTGGTTACTTAACATTTAGTTGATAATTTTTGTTTACAGTATTATTTATGTATTCCTATTGATTCAGAAAATGTTTATCAGGCATTAGACTGTCATCGCATGATCTTAACATAGAGAAAGGTAGACATGATAATAGTTCGAGACAGGACAGAAAGTGTACATGCTGCCGAAATTGAAGATGAATTCCATTTTTTACTTAAATGTCCATTTTATTCAGATTTACGTCAAAAATATATCAGGAAATATTATTTTCGAAAGCCAAGTGTAGTCAAGGTAATTCAGGTGTTAAGTGTAAACGGTGTTAAGGAACTAAATAAAACGGGCAAATTTGTACATTTGTCATGATTCAATCTTCATTTGTTTGTATATATTGTACATATCTATGTTGTATTTGCATATAACTTATGGGCCGCTAGGCCTTTGGAATAAAGAACATTGAACTTTGAACATTGATAAAAGTACAGTTTACGTTTAAAATACTTATTATATCACTTAATGGGATCCTAATGTATGATAATAGAGGTGTATATTTATTTCAAATTACAATATGCTCTAGACACTGAGGTCATTAACATAGAGGAGTAGAAATGTATGTATTTCTCTCTTGTCAACAATGAGACAATTAACATATAACAATCGGAGAGTAAAGTAACATATACTTACCTTCCGGTGTCTGTCTGTTCTGGCCTTCCTTCAGCTAAAGCTTCTGTCAAATATCGACACATAACATTCCTTAGATACGCTAAGCATAGTAAATTAAAAGCGTTTGATATTGATCAAGTATACATATTTTCATATAGTAGGGGTTAGATATGTTCAGTAATATGTCTACTGGTGGAAGGGATTTATGACCATGCCTATGCAAAGGTTAAATATATATCTTTCTATTCAGACTGGTAGCGTCTATTGTCTACATGCTGATTTATGATTTAGTCTTTAACCATGGCCTGGGAACTAACCAAACCCAGATGGCTAATATATAAGCCATCTTACTCTTACGTTCCAATAATTTAGAAAATATATATCTTCCAAATATTTACCTTTTGTAACCTTTTTGACATTTATGTTCTTTCCTGGCAGTTCCACGTTGCCCTCAAAAGCAAACCCCTGGACCAAGTGTTGACCTTCGGTTGTAGGTGTCCATGCTGCTTTATACTGACCGTCATTAGTTTTTACACAATGTGTATCTAAGGCGTTTCCATTTGGTGGTTTGATCCTGACCAATATGTCAACGTTGTCATCAACCAAGAGATTCTTGTCGTGGTCAAACAGCTGGACATGGATATCGGTTCTCTTGTTCACTTCTGGATCAGAATCCTGCACGTTGATAATGGTGTTTGGGGGGAAGAGTGAGCTAGTTGCAACACTGCCTAAGGTTTGTACGAAGCTGGAAAAATTGGTGGCCATATTTTGTTTGATATATTCCATGTGTGCTGTTTGGAAAGGTATGTGCTCCGTTTCCTGGTTTAGCATGACATGAAACTTGTTTCGAATGGTTGGTGCTATAATGAGGAATCCAGCAGGGTTTTCAGAACTTAATGACTGCTCAAGGAATTTACAGTCGGTCCGCATACAGTCGATGGAAGAGGAAAGAGATTCAGCCTGCTCTGTAAGTACTTTTCGTTTCTGTTCTGACTTTTCTTTGATCAACACTCGCTGGTCTTGTCTTCGTCTCTCCAGCAGCTCCGCACAAATGTTGAAGGCTGCATCAACTTCCTCCTCCGACTGCTTCTCATTTTTTAAAAGCGTGTGTATTGTTAGGTCCACATTCTGAGCAATAAGGGTTGCTTCGTCGACCTTGTTTTGTACCGATCTGGATAGCTCCAATAATTGAGCCTTTTCTGTGTCATACACATCAGTAATTGCTTTAACTGTATGATCTTCTTTGTCGCTGTGGTTTAAGACATAACAACTATTGCATATCGGAGTTTCACAATTCTTCCCAGAACAATAGTAAAGCAACTTCTCCTCTGTATGGAGCTCGCAGTACTGCTGATGGACATACCTTGATATGCTGTCTGTTTTGCCAGGTTTCTGCTGAAGATCAAATACTGTATGCTTTCCGATTACTTTTTGCATGGTGTAATGGGCTTCGATGCAATTTTTACAAAAAAACCTAGAGCACTCCTGACATCTATGTGATGCTATTTCGTGTTTGTCACAAACTTCACACTCGACAGTTGAGACGCTAGTAACTGCCCGAACAAAGTCTAAAAGATCCCATCTTGTTCTGTCCACTGGAACACTTTCGAGGTTTGCAATTTGATGTTCTGTCTTGCATATGGAGCAAGAAACAATGTCGTTTTTATAAATTTGTAATAGACAGAAATTGCAGAATGTATGAAGACAAGGAAGAAGTCTGGGTTTCCGTTCTGCTTCATCATACTCCTCCATGCAGATTGAACATTCCAGAAATTCACTTTTGAGTTTTGTGATCTTCTCAACTTCGTCGACATAATTTTCCGCCATCGTATCTGTAAGGAGGAACTTGAAATATTAGGCGATTTCGATGTAATGTTCTAATGCCAAGTTGAAACATATACTTGTATCTAGATAACATTTACGCGACATTACACAGAATACAATTACAACTTACTGTAGATATTATCGTCTATACAAAGTCATACTAAGCAATATTTGGAATCATCTTATACGTTTTCTCAACGTATTAACTCGAGTATTTAAGCAATGAACTGTTTTTGTATGGCATTTATGTTCTATTTGAATGACACAGCTTTGCAAGCAAACAAACCATAATGCGCCAAACCTGACTGCAGTCGGTAGATTCTACAACACTCTCGTTATTTGATATAAGTCATAAACTGAGGAAACCGTGGCTGATAGTCGCGTGATAGCGTTTAAAGTGAGTGATATTGCGACAGAGCACATGGGTTTGTTACAAATGTCTAAAATACACATATGCCTTGTTTATGTGTGATGTGACCGGTATCAGTATAGCATATGTGTATTTCAGACATTTGTAAAGATTCCATGTGGATCAATGCAGTGTAACAGACGATATTTCTGATAAATTGTAAGAGTGTAAAATTGTTTTCATTGGTTGTTTCAACCGATGTGCATTTTGTACAATATTGCAGACCTTGCAGGTCTTTTTTGTTGTTGTAATAAAAGTACTGTATTTTAAAAAAAACGTTTTCTCGATTTTTCTTGTACACATTTACAATAACATTGTCAAATCTCACAATGCCCAGCGATATTTTAGCAGCCGTCAGGTTTGTTTACACTGGATATTGTAATCCGGTCGGTGTTGTATTAATACGCTAAGAAAAGTGTCTCGCGGTGCATGGCATTTAAAGTCCCATCAACAACACAGCTTTCAAATAGATTATATAGTGACAATGCCATGCATTTTTTGCAGTCGAAACACACATTTTATATATCAATTTTCAAACACAGCCACGTATTTACTTATGTGAGAAAACTCTTCAAAAAACAAAGCTTAAACAAATAAACATGTAACTCAACTTTACTTGCAGAGAGAAGAATATTTCTGGTGATGATAATATGATTCAATGAGGGGGTTGGATGGGTAGAAGGGAGGGATGGTGATGGTAATCAATTTATCATGTGTCCCTCGCCCAGGAGAAACAACCTATTATCCTTTCTATGGGCGGACGGCTCATAGCTCACGTTGCAAACGCTGTAATGTCAGGGATAACTTTGGAGTATGTCGGCAGCGATGCCGCCAAGTTGTCGGTAGATACATATTCTTGAGAGTTACTGTGGTAGAAATATAAGTAGGGACTGTTAGGAATTATTTAATGAAGTCTTAATCCACTTTGGTCACCACTTGTCATGATTGTTAAATGTTTTCTGTGCCATGTTATAAATTGTTGAACTTTATTTCCGACTAAGGTGTCATTGTTACAAGGGACAGGTGCTTGGTGGCATGTAAAAATAGGAATCCCGGGGGTTGGCGGCTGCGACTATCGTGAAGTGGGGAAGCCATCCTATACATATTGTTAGCATTTCTGGTTTTATAATTGGAATGTATTGACTAGGTCCGTTTCCCGATGTACGCAAACGTTGACAAGTCACAGAGATTCAAAGCGCACCGCTACAGACACGGTCATTTGCATAAAAAGCATGCACGTCTGTGTATACAAAGTTGGCAGCACTGCAACGCATGACTGGCTTGTGGGTCACGGCCCAATGATCATGAGTACACCATTGGCCAGGTAGAACGGTTGGTCGGTAATCATAACCTCGTGTACATTGAGTGGTTAGGGACTAAAAATAATTTATTGTCGGAAAGGTTAACTAAATGTATTTTGGACGTGTTCAGATTTATATTATTTCTTTTTACAATATCAGAAATTGTGGTATTCAGATGGTCTATATGTACTAAAACAAATATTGAAATGTGTTTTACTTCTATTTCTAATGCCTAAACACACAGAATTATTGTGATAGCTTCTCGAGCAGAGTGAAATGCATGCATTTTGTCTGAAAAATATGTGCAAATTTAATATATGAAACTAACTTAAAGATACATTTTCTAAACTGTACATATAATCCTGTGATGCTGGCACCCTCAACCATTGAGAGAGTGAGGCAAAGAAGGAACCCAAGCCCCTCTGACATGTTCCTCTGTCTGTGCCATGTTTACCCACAGCTACATAACAAAGTAAAAAATAACTGATTCATTTTCTCCATTAATTTGAGTTTTGGCAATTTCTGATATGCACGTGGTTGGGGACATGCATAGCGTCGGACATTAAACATCAAACATGTGTGTGTGGGGTGTGTGTTTGTGTGTGGGTGTGTGTGTGTGAGTACAATGTTTGTCAGGTTTGGAAAACCAAAAGCCCCAACTCTTGCAGTAATCTAATACACATAAAATGACTACCTCAGTGGTGAAGAATTACACTTCTTGGTAATTTAAAAATAGATAATGGCAAATTTCAAGTGTGCAGTTTTTTTTATAGAAAATTCGACAAAGTCAATTCATTGATATAAAATGTGGCATTTATAAAGAATCCACAAATGATATACATACATAGATATATGATAATTTACGAAGTTTGGTAAATAGTAAGATTGTAATTAATTTAAAGCAAGTTGATGCCAACTGAAGATAATCCATTCCAGGTAGCTTCAACACTTTATTTGAATTATGCGTTTCAAGTCCAGAATTTACTCATGAAATCGACAAAACTAGCAACATTTATGGTATAAATTACAGCCAACCGTTAACTAGCTACCCTGCGTACTAATAATAAGCTCAAAAGCAGATCAATTTTGTCTTGTCAGCTTTATCAGCCTATGAAGATGGTATATTCTTACTGAAGAAATGATCGTTTACTAAAGTAAGATAAGATGTATTTACATGTGTTAGAGATTGAAATAGTTAGATGTCCATTCAATGTAATGCTGTAGACTAATGCAACGTGGTGAAGTAAAGAAGAAAAGTCAGTTGTATGTAGGACAATGATCTACAAGAATTACTTAAGGACGAACCATCGCCATTACATTTTATTTTTGTCTAATATAATGCGGTGATATACCACTCTTCTCATCATGTATTGTAAGGCTATCAATGGAGGATCAAAAACAATAACGGTTACAAAATGGTTCAATGTAAATATTCCTGAAACACTTATACAACAATAATAGGAGAGGGATATCATACAATGAAAAGGTTATTGCTTATGCTATTATATAATTGATATCTAATTGGAATAACTGTTAAACAAATATGCACAAATTGACTAAACTTTCCTATATATACAGTAAATCTGTTGTTAGATAACTAGTAAACATAGATACATACATTAATTGTACTAACCTATACAGAGTTAACGTCGAGTTCGATGATCAACCTTGTAGGTGGGATACTATACACAGTGCTGTCTAGTCAAGCAAAGTTTCAGTGTCCCAAAACAAAGTTAGATCACGTGATATGGCTTGATGCCAAAGGTATTGTATACAATAAAAAAAAATGAATAAAGCACGTAATTTTAATCTCTATAAATAGGTTGGGAACAAAGAGACTTTTAAACTTCAGGCTGGCCAATATAAGATATTGTATTGAAATTCATGTAATAAGAAGAAGATCTACATTTCAATTTAACAGGTAGCGTGTCGGTGATTAGTGCAATGTGCACATTTATAAAACGAATTTCTATTTTATTCATTCGCAACTATACCAATGTAGAACCAGGGTAAGACAAGGCTTCACAAATTGACGAATGTGCTTAAGTACTAGCCTTTCTGGATGTGTGTGTCATGGTGACCAATAAACCACTTTGCCAAGGATTACTAATTCTAAGCTGAGAAAAAACCTTTTCGGTCGATATCATGATCAGGTTTCCAACTTTGGTTGCACGAAACACATATTTTCCGTTTTTTGTAAGGTATCATGATGTTTGTCTATTTGCTTTGAGGTCTTCTTATTTCTGTCTTTTCATGTCAACCGTAGATCCGATCATGTAAGCACACAGAGGTTTTTATTTAAACAGGTATGTACGATGACTAATCTTTATTCTCAATACCTCTTGTATATCACATACACTATAGTACTAACAAAAAACCCACAGACCGTCCGTTATAACAACATATCATTTCAATAGCTATTTCTGCTGAACAGGGCACTGGATCATTCGATCAAATAAATGTATATATACAAAGTAGGTACCTAAATTACCCATAGCTCTTAGTATAACGTCATCGGCAATCGTATCAACAAGTACTGCCAAGCTTAATTGCCTAATACATTAATGTATGCAGTGTATATATAGATCTTATTGTTACACAAATATAATCAGACTTTGTTTGATCATATTGTTAATAGTAATAGAAAATACTAACAAAAATTTAATTATAATGGAAGCCATTACAGAAGTCGTCCAGACCGACCCAATCGTCACAAACATTGCTTCAGAAAGAACTGACACCGCTATTATACATACACACTTACGTGCTCTATTTTTGTCAGAATGGAACAATATTTAAAGTCGACCAATCCAACACGAGTATATAGGGGTCATATTGTACAGTTAGAAAAAAAGGATTCTGATTACCTTTGTTATTAACTATTAACACCCATCCCCCCCCCCCCCCCCCCCCCAAAGTAAATTCACTTGTGATCCCCATTCTTATCTGTATGAAATATTCAAATCTTCTTTCTCTAGAAAACAGACGGCAATATTAAGATCTCTTTTTACAATGTATTTCTTGTGTAGTTTGACTGTCCGTACCTTATAGAAAAGATAATGTTTTGACAAGTCTCTCTATATACATTAAGATATACTTCATATAGCGTGCCTTTATCACTGACAAACCTGTATCAAGATGCCAATCTTGGGAATCCTGAAAAGTAGTCTTAAAATGGCAACCAATAAAGGTCCATTTCGCAACGAAATTGATACGTTTAAGAATATCGAAAAGGGTATCTTCAAACAGGTGCCCTCTCATTAGATGTGTCTTTTTTTAAATACAGGCTCATTTCACA